GTTGATAATACCGATAAGTTTTTGTATGTAACAGTTAATATTATGTTTTAAAAATATTTTTTATTAAATGTTATCCAAATTCCAAATACTACAATTAAAAAAAAAACCAGGAAGTATTTGTCATTGTCAATGTAGTGTCACCTATGTTTCTAAGAAATAAGAATATTAAATTGTATTATTTTTATTATATTACTATTAGTAATACGGTAGGTTGAATGTATTTTTCTATAATCAAATCATATAATAATATCACTAAATCTGTTATTAACTTTTAAGTTATAAGTCAATACCGACGAACAGTTGAATGACATTAATCCGTACTTCCACTATAAGTTAACTGTTAACTATCAAAAATGTAGTGAACATTTAATTTTGAACAGTTAATAATATTATGTACGTCATAGTGAAATGTTAGAAGTACCTACTAACCACCATTAGCATTTTTTTAATACGTACATTTATTTCAAACTTCAATTTTATAAATAGTACAAGAACAGATATTATATAATATATATTATATACTAATTAATTCAATTTTTGTATTAAAACAGAAAACAAAATTGACTTCATCAAATGTTGATTATGCATCAAATTCCCGTTTTTTCTTAATTTTTTATTTTTCCCGATTATTTTAAAAAGAAATGGCATTTTTACTTTTAATAATGTTATTTCTCGATCCAATTTTCTAGCGGTACCACCCTCAAAGTAAAATTGAAGCATTTTTTCTGCTTTGTTTTCTTGTTCAATTCATACATTAAGGCTGTTGAAAGTGGGTCGCTTTTTGTGTATTAAAGTTTCTCCGAAAAATTCATCCAGTACCAAAAGTCTGATTTTAATTTTTAAAACATATTTGTATTCCTTATTCTCTTCCTAGGTTATGTAGGGAATGGATATTAAAGTAAACGTGAATTTTGAAAAAAAAATATGTATAATTAATTTGGTACTAAACTAATATTATAAACAATACAAAAAATCAAAAATCCATTGCCAACATAACATAAGAAATAGAGTGAGGAATTCAAATATGTTTTTAAAATTATAATTGGGCTTTTGGTACTGGGTTATTTTTTCTTCGACTTTTTGGGACTTTCGTGTTGAAAATTGTTTGATCGCAATATGTAGTGACTTGTAGTATGTACGTTACTGATTTCAAATAATCTTAGCCGTAGTTTATCTTTAATTACATAAATCGTCAGGAGAACTCCCGCAGTCAGTCACACATAACTCGGGTTGGATAAAGAAAATTGCCTAAATACGATCCCTTACAAATGGTGCGCTTTCAACTGCAGTAAAGACTGGATATTTTTAACAAATGTTCATATTAGAATTTTTTGGATACGACATAATTTTCAAAATGTTTTTAATTTTTGTCTATTTAAGTTATTGACATATTAATTGTATTATTCTAATTTTACTTTGATAACATTCTAGTCAAAAGTTTGAAAATGTTATAACAAGGTTATTGAAACTATGACAGTTAAAAATGTTGAAAATTCATGGGCGCAATTTTCTGCAGGTACTTTTAGTCACCATTTTGATGAAATTAGATATTTAAACGAAATATAACGTTTTTAATGATTTTAATTTTTAATTATTTTATTGTACCTATTAATCGTATATAGACTTGTAACTTGAAACTTAACGCCATTATGGAGTAGGAATTTGTGTATATTATTTACTATGCACATTGTACAATGACATTCTCAAATCCTTTATAATATGAATTTTAATTAATTTACACTACGAATCTATTTGACCAATTTAAACCATTTTCGGATGTAGGTACCTAAAGAATATAGAAAAAAAGGACTAACCCCAAAAAAGGTACGGTATGGTCGCATAGTGGAGTTATATGCTTATAAATTTAAATATGGCAATAACAGCATTTTGTGATTATTTAGCAGGAACTAATATACCTACACACATTTTTACTGTGTACACATTTCATTTGCATTGATTAACGTATGTAATTTTGTATATGAACTTACTATTTCAACATTAAATGGAAGTCACACCATCATGTGTTGTCTCCGTCTTACACAACACACGTACGACATAGACAATTTTCGTTCTCTAGTTTCATAGGGTGCTGTTAGTTTGGATATTATAGGATTTATGAGCATGTAAAACATTAATATTTGAAAATGAAAGATAATTTACTCAAAAAAATAAAATATCGTAAAAAACCGAAGACAGAACACAGATAATATTTTTACCTAAAAGTTTGATACAACATTGTTGGATTATCTTTTCCTATGGCTGACCTCATAATTAATGTGTCAACCGATAGCGTTATTTTTAAAATATGTACTTGGTAATGTTAGAAAAGGGAATACGTTTGTATTTTTATCAATCAAATGTTTCAAACGTCTGAAATTATAAAAAACAAAAAAATTATTTTAATAACATTAAAGCAAACATAAGGCGAATTAAGGCATAATAACATAATAGTATTATATATTATGTAAAAAAACCTAAGCCTTCAAAATATACATAACATAAACGATATACATAAATATTGTCGTATGGCTTACAGCTGTCATCAGCAGTTCAAATAATAATATGAATAATCAATTAACGTTGTTAAATACATTGATCAATGATCGTAATAATTATAAATTTATTATTCTGTTTGATAATATATTTTTCCTATAATTGGCTATTTATGAACTACTATTATATTATTATTACTTATTAGTTCCTATTATTACTATCGTTATTATACAATAGAGCTATTGTTCACATATTATTATTATTATTTAAACATGTTAAACTTCTTTGATACCAATATAATATTAATTATATTATTCCATATGATTTAGAGTTTGTAGTCATGCAATATGTCAAGACGTGTTCTATACCATTGTATGGAACACCGTAAATCATTCGAATGCAAATTAAAATTGGATTTCCCGTGCCTAAATGTGGGAAGTACAGAATAATATCATGTGAATAAATCTATAAATAAAACTCAATAACTGCCGTTTTCGGTACTTGATGTGATATAGGTACGTATTTAAAATTTGTGTGTGTTTTATTTTGATTTCTTATGACTATAAAAAGTTATACATTATAACGTTATAGTTGCACGAACTATCGCTAAATATTTAATGAATCAATAGTGAGCTAATCGTCCTTTAAACACGATTTAGTGATTTGTCCATTAAATTTTATTGAACCATTAAATGAATACATTTTTCATGCAACCCGGCATAGGTATATTATTATTTATTATATTATTAGAGAGCTTATTGCACGGAGTAGGTACACCAAAGTATTTAGTTCTAAAATGTTTATCAAAAGTTTATCTTTTTTACATGTATTATATAATTTATTTTCTTGGAGTTAAATAAACGTAAATAATCTCTTGTTACAGTTTTGTATACACATGAATCGGTTAATCAGTGTTTTTTTTTTTTTTTTTTTTTATTATATTTTTAAAATTGTTTTGAACTAAAAAAAGGACGACGTTTCTGTTTATGTAATCAAAAAACAATTTAATATAGGCGATGAAATTTAAAACTTTGAATTTTTTCTTTGAAACTCACATTATAACGGGTGACTTGGGTTTGTGAGTTGTGACGTTATTGTATTAAATTTACCATATTGGCCAGTGGAATATTCGAGAAATTCGATCGTCGGGCGTACATGGTGCGGGTCGTCGGAATAATATGATTTCCGACACGTGAACCAAAATACATTTTAACGTTTGAGGTAACGTCGTCGGCGGGTGGTTACTGGTTAGTGATCGGTGGAAAAAACAAAGAATGATAATAACAATACTAATAATAATATGTACTAATAAAAATAATGATAATAATAATAATATTAGAAGTAACTAATAACAGTAAAAAAACAGCGGGACACGCTTGCCGCAACGGTACACTAGTGACGTCGGCGGCGAGTGGGCGGATGGGCGGGTGGCCGCGGCCGTGGCCCACTCGGTGTCCGAAAAATTGCCGAAAATTTTCGAGGGACGCCGCCCTCGCGACCCCCCTGATGGCGTCGCCGAATTCACTGCGCACTATCGCCGCCCCGAAAGACGTACTCGCAGAGCGGTCACGTGACGTGCACGCCGCGATACTACCCTGCCGAGTGCCGGCTTTCAGTGGCTGCGGTAGCGGCGGAGGGGAGTGATATCGTAACTCCGCACCAGTGGGCGCCACTGACGCCGCCACCGCCGCCGCTGCCCTTGACTGTGACCGTCACACGCACACACACGCACACACCGGTACACGGTTTTGGGTGGCGCGCGCACGCACACAAACGCACATTGACAGGCGCGTACACGCACACGACGCAAAACCGGGCGGGCACAATCGGGATCTGTGAGAGAGCGCGAGCGCGAGCCCGCGTACGTGTATCGTCACCGCCGCCGCCGCTGTTGTCGCGCGGGTGTTTCGCGTTCGGGTATCTCCGCGCAGTCGGTCAACGAAACAGAAAGTGGCCGTACGTCGTCCGTACCGCACGCGCCGCGACACACAAAACACACAAACAAACACACACACACAAACTCAAACACAGACACAAACACACACGCACTCCTCGCACACCTGTGACGAAGTACAAATCGTTATTAATAATAATAATATTATTTTTTTTTGTTTACCATCATTTTTGGTTTTTGACTATAATTTTCTCGTTTCGTTTCGAGACGATTTCGCGGGTTTCGTATCGAAAATTTGACGATCGTTTCCGTTTCCACTTCGTATCACGTACGTATGTCGGTATAATAATTTGAAAAAAAAAAAAGGTATAATATTTTTATCCTTCGTCGCCGCTAGCGCCGATTTGTCGAGCGCTTTTAGCGCACGCCGAGTAATTTTTAAATAAAAACTATAAATCGAGAAAAAAAAACAAGACTTAGACGCAATAATCAGCGGACGAGACACCGACGTCCGCCGTCTTGCGTCGCGCGCGGCATGCGATCGCCATCGTCGTGGTCGTCGACTAACGCCGCCCGTCGTAGTCGTCGTTGAATGGCTCCTCGCCGGAACGCAATGGGTTTCAACGGTATCGGACATTTCGCCGACTTGTTCGGCCAGTCAACCACAACGGCCATGGAACAGTTGTTCCAGCAACAGCAACAGCAACAGCAGCCTTATCAACTCGTCCACCAACAGCAACAGCACTACGAAGATTGTTGCGTGCCCACCGGCGACTGCATCATGCGGTCCGCGCCCATCAGGCCAGAAGATCCGCGCGCTGCCGAACTGTACGCCCGCGTGGTGTGCAGCGACGGCGGGTGTCCGGCCGGCCGGTACATGCACCGCGAGTGTTTCGACGCCTGGGAACGGCTGGTGCTGGTCTACATGAAGAACGCGGCCGCGTCTTACGCCAACGGTAACGCGCCGCAGTCCAACGGCCGGCGCATCAAGGACCTGTGGACGGTGAACGTCAACAACAACAACGTGGTGAACCTCAACAAGAAAGGCTATGAAATGGCGTTCAAGGCCTGCGGCTGCCGTTGCGGCCGTGGTTACTTGAAGAAGGACTCCGAGTGGCCGCAGTCGTCGTCCGTGTCCGTCATCCGTAGACGGTCATCCGGCGGAAGCGGCGTCGCAGCGGACGACACGATGGACGGAGGTAGGACATCGGCCGCACCGCCGACCGTCGGCAAGAAGAAGAAGCGCCGACAGCCCTCCGCCAGACAACCGGCGGCCGCCGCGTCCACGATGATGATGGTCGACTATTCCGAACTTCGGCTCCGCACCGGAAGCCTGTCCGGTTCGTCAAACGGTTCCAGCTCTCCCGTCACCAATTCCGCCAGCAGCGTGTCGCCCGCCCACTCGGGATCGTTCGGTTCCAGCACTAGCACTGGTGCCGGTTCCGGTTCTGGTTCGGGTTCTGGTTCCGGGTCTTCGTCGTCCAAGAGGCGCGGAGCCTGTCCCAAAGACGTTTTCGAGAGGTAAATAAAACAATATTTTACCATCATATTTTTCAGGTTATCGTTACCTATTATTATTTTTTGTTAAATTAATATTAAATAATCGTCGAGTCGTGTGAGAACGCTTTTCGTGTGATGGTTTTGAGATGAGGTTGGTATGCGGCTCGCGTGTGTAAACATCGCCTGGTATTGTGTACAAGTCTCGGCGACGCGTCCGTAAACACACGAATTTAATATTGTTGCCCTAGTCAGACTGTCGGCGGCGTGCGTGAGTAACCGCCGCCGACGCCTTCCTTCCCTTTTCCCAGCGTGTCTGTCGTACATTTTGGGGGTATGAAGAGGGCGAAAAACGTGTCCTTTTTTTCCTCTCTGTTTGGGGGATTGGGATTTCGACCCTCTTTCGAAAGTTCCCGTCTGGTACCTCGTCGACCCGTCTCCGCCGCAGTGTTGTTGTCGCGCCCCCGAGACCGTCTGGAGAAAATTAATCGGTGGCTTTTTGTGTGCGAGAAGAATCCAAAATATATTCGAGTATACTTATTGTTTTTTCCGCGAAATTTAAACCCTCAATCCCGTTATTTAGATGGCAATCGCGGTAAATCGACCAAAAGGCGATAAAAACTGGCGTATTTAGGATTTTGTTGATGTATCTATCCAGATTTCAATAACTAAAAGGCTCAGACGCTTTCAGCCCATTTGTTGCTTTAAAATTGCACTTAAATAATACGTTTTAAAATATAAAAACATTACCCAAAAAAACAAAATACGTTACCCAGAGTGTAATAAAATTTTTATCTACCCTAAATATATATCCCGTTTATCCTGAAAAGTTGAATATGTCTTACTAAATCAACACTGGAATATTTTAAACCATCAAATAAATGTATTTAGTAGGTACCTAAGTATAGCTTTAATTTACATTCATTGGCATTAAAAAATATTTATATTATTTAGGTATTTTGTATGTTTGTGGAATTTTAACATTATTTTATAAATATTAAGTCATTAACATCTATAATTATTTAAAAATCCATCATACTTTAAATTTTTTATTCTGAACTTACCAACGACTTCATCTGGCATATTATTTTTACATTAAGTCGACACGTCAATAAGGTTACCCATTTAGTCTATTATTACCCGTGCGGGATTCGTTCGGCTATTTAGGCTGTTGTTATAATTATAGTAATACAGTTACCTATAGGCTATAGATAGTCCCTTACATAATTATTTTAATATGTATTGTGAATTTCAAATTTGTGTATACATTTAGATTCTCTTGCGTATTTTATCAGAACCGACATTGGGCGTTTGAGCCTTATGAACACTCTTCGTCGAAACACTTGAACGCCAACGTTACTATATTTTTTGCACTATAGATAAACATGGACGAATTATTTAATGTAAAATATTATTTGATAAAAAAGTTCAACAGTGATCCATTTCTTCTCATATCTTTCCCCCCCACCCCACCGGTCTATGCTTAATTGCGCCGCCGAGTCAAAGAGATTTATATATTATCGGAGACAATATTCGAGCGTGTCGAGGCGTTATCCAAAGGGGTCGTAATCTTCGTTGGCGGGAAAATAATATATTTCGGTGAACCACGTGGGTCTCTTGGTGCGCGCGCTCCCCGTTTGTGTTCTCGTTGAAAAATCGGTCGAAGGACGTCCACTCGGGTTGGTGCGCATCGGGTTTTGTTGTTGTCTGAAGAACGGGGCAATAAAATGTGTCTCATTAAGCGTGTTTTTTAAGTCGTGTTTTAGATTCGGCTCTGTTATAGTTTTCCCATCATCGTGTAATAATGCGAAGGGGGGCGGGGGGGGGCTTCTACGGTGTCCATAATGTTCCTTCCGACGGTGGTTTGCTACATAATTCGCCTAGACGGCGGTCGGCAATTTTGCGCCGAAGAAAATATCGCTTCGAAACTGCGCGAGACGTATTCCTGGAAACGATTACATTATTATTATTATTATTATTTTGTCATTGGAGTCGAGTCGTAGTCATGGTATTTCATAAATACCGCGATTCTTTTTCGAATAATTTTTTTCCGTTACAAAATCTGCGTTTCTTTTTATTATCTCGAAAAAATCCCACGGTTTAAGTTATTTTAATACTTACGTCGTTTTTTGACTCCGATTGTTCTCTGCGTGCTCACGACCGATCCCGGGTTTTTTTTTTTTTTGCTTGCGTTTAATTTTTAGAAGTGTAAAAACGACGGGTAAATAAAATGTTTATAATAATAATAATGACAATAATATAATATTATCGCGTTTCTGTAAACACAACAACGTTTATTATTTTACACGATAACGGGTTTTTCGTAAAACACACTCTTGTAAACAACATTCATCAATTGATATTTATTTAAAAGTATTTCGACAGAATCATATCAGATATATTATATTATATATTAATATTGTTTCGAATACCACGACCCGATTTAACTGACCATTTTATTTATATTCGTATTGCCGGTCGGCGTTCATTCGGCGTTACAAACCGTTCCTGTTGAAGAAAATAATATCAATTGTTGGCTAGGTTAAGACGGTTTTCCCGGAGGGTCGACGGGGTGCGTTCTGTTTGCTTGTGTGACCCCACGAATTAAGAGTGGTGGGCGGTGGGTTTGTAACTGGGTGGTGGGTGGTGTGGGCGAACATTTTCAAATCGCCTGCATATCCGCTACTTTTTTGACACAAATTGGACATCCCTCCCAATTCTCATCATACAACAATAATAATATGAGCATCTTCTTAGTTGTGCTACACACTTACAAAATATAATGAATAATATTATGAACAAATAAAACGTAATTGGTCTGGGTGACTCCCAATGTCCATTTTGATATTTTCAAATATGAACCGTCATCATAAATAATAATAATAATTTAAATATGTAAATCATTACTTTGGTTGGGATAAAGTTGTGATATTTAACACATAACAATTTTCCACGGTACTAATTATACACGATTCTAATATCATAACTCAAAATTTACATATTATCATATTAAAATCGTATAATATTATTTTTGTTCAACGTGGTTTTTACCACACGGTAGAATCGCGATAGTGTGTCGCAAATCGTATGGAATTTCGTTTAGGTGGATATTTATTTTAAGTAGGTATATATCTCCTTTTGTTTGGTACCCGGAGGCGTTCGGTTTGTAAGCCGAGCTTCGATTTTTTTGTTCTGTAGTCGCCAGCGGCGAGAAAATCGTGTGGTGCATGGTGTGGACAGGATCGCAGTGTCATTAAAACGAAAACTGGGTGGAAATGATAAAAAAAAAACCCTTTTAAAATATTTAATTACGTACGTTCGTAAACACTTGCGGAACGTCGAGTTGACGTCGTATTCGGAACAAGTGTAGTAGGACGAGTATATGATATTAATATTGGTATGTCGCACACCCGGTGTGCTTTTTTTAAATTTTTTTTTTGCCCAAAAACGAGGGTCAAATAAGGGGTAGGAGAGGGGTGGGTCGCTAGGTCAGCGCGTTCGCATTCCCGTCGTATGCACATAATTTTGTATATGTATATACATCTTTTTTTAAATACATGTCCGTTATTCGCTCGGAATACAAACCCTTTCGGCGTGGGCGGAGGGTATACGTGCATGTCGACGAGTTGTCGTCGTTGCCCCCAGCCCTCTCTAGATCGTGGTCGAGCATTGTGATGAAGTTTGTGGGGTGTTTCGCGTAAAATATTGCGATCTAATTAAAACCCGAATTTTTTTTCCACCCTCTCGGCGAGGTTGTCGGGTGAACTCGCGTTGGGGGGAGGGAGAGGTCGACGATGACGCACAACGAGCTCAAAAACCGTTCGGAGTTTTCCTCCGTACTTCCTACCTACACATTACTACTATTTCCAAGACTACAACAATATTATGTTGTGAGTACCTCCGACAAAGCATAAAGATTATAATATTTTTTTTTCATTTTCTCGACAACGAATTGTAAATTTCATTTAAAATTCATGTAATACTAGTGCGTGGCGGCGGCGGCATATGTGTTTATTATTGTTATTACTTATTATTATTACTATTATTATTACTAATATGGGGGCCTGCCCTCCATGACTGTGTGTGTGTGTGTGTGTGCGGTGTGTGTATCTCTTCCCGAGTAACTGAATGTTTCATAATTATTATTAAATATCAACAACACGGCTGTTGTTGTGTATCTGTTCCATTATTTTCTTGTGTACGGCTGTCGTGTTATGTTTTTTTAGACTCGTCGTTTTCGACGACCGTCACGGTGTTGTAATTTTCAGTTTTTACCCAAAACTATCGCTGGGTCAAAAGTGCGTGCGTGCGTGCGTGTATCACGTTCGGTTTAATTGTTGTTTTCGTATAATTAAAAAGTAACGGTGGTTTTTTGTCGGTAATTGACCACTGCTCGCTGGACGAAATTAATAATACATTACATTGCCCTACGTTTGTTGTTTGTATATTATATTATTATATAAATTATTTTGAATAAAAAAAAAATCCGTACGCGCCTCCAAACGACAACCTTGAAATATCCGTCACGCTACCATGCACCGCTTTGCCCGCGCTTCCGACACCCAAGTGTTATGTGCTCTATGTCTGTCATGTTCTAGTAACCAGCTGTACTTGATGTAGATGAGTACACCAACTACACGCCGAGTGCAACACTGCAGCAGAGTTGTGGTGTCGTTTCCCCTTGTCGGATTGTCGTAGTAGGTGAACAATAATAATGAATAGGTTTCGTTACATTTTTCTTCTCTCTCTCTCTCTCTCTGCCCCGAATCGATAAGTGTAGTAATATCGTACGAGTTATAATAATATAATATTCTGTGACCGCCGCCGCTCGCGTGCAATATCGATTTCCATATAAGGATTTATCGTCGTACACGAGTCGCGATAATTACAGTGGTTTGTCTCGAATGCCGATACGTACAACTCGCCGCGTGTCGTGTTTCGATTTATTGTCGTCGATCTGATTTCAAAACGAATTTGGGTACGACTGGTTTTTTCTGTGACGCCGCTTTTCTATTGACTCACGG